CTGAAAGCAGAACCAACGCTGAAGCTACCGCCTGCAACAACAAGATCGCATCTCCTATCCCTGATTCCCACATTTGGAGAACGCGGATTCGAAAGCGAAGGAATCGAGATCCAGATCCAGATTTCACATTTGTTGTAGCAATCGGTCTCAAGGTCGCGGCTGGAGCCGAAATTTTCGCAGAACTATTTGTCGAACGCCATCGTGGGGCTTGCAATCATCCTGAAGGAGGGGGACTTATTGCTGTCGCTCGATCATGTGGTGGTGGAGGTTAACAGAGTGGTGGCCGACCAGACGGACGGGAAGTTGAAGGAAGACTTGTGGTCTTGGATTGAGAGTACCAAGATTCCAACGGCGGCCGGGTTCTCCTTGGTGGGGGCATCGCGGCTAAGTAGTTCGCCTAGGTTTGATGTTCACGGGAATGATTTCAGGTAACGGAGGCGGTGAGGAGTGGAGGCAGGAGCAAATTGGAAGGGAAGGTTACGGTGTTGCCCGGAGCAAATCTTTCCTTCTTGGTAATGTTTTTTTATTAATTTTTATATTTTTTTTTATTGACATGCCATTAAGTTAATTGTCCAGTCAGAAGTTTCGTTTGCCACGTCATCAAAAAACTGACGGCGTTAACTGATTTTGACGGAGATTAACGGCCGGTGACTGCTGGTGAAACGATTCGTAAAGTTAGTGGTGAATAAGAAAGAAAAGTAATTCGGGTGGTAAATGTGAAAATTTTATGTAATTTGAGTGACCAAACATGTAATTTAGCCTTTTAATTTAACTCATAAAATTAACAGAGTAATTAGTAAATATATGACTTGAATCAAAAGGATGATAATTAAAAGAAAAAAAATTACTTCAACTTTAGAGTCAAATGCGGCCGCCAGTGCCATCCGGAACGTGTAGTTCCCGCTGGAATCCACTTCTTGGAGATCGAAATTTATCCGCCAATTTGTTGCTTGAAATTTGATGGCACCGCTTTTCGGATCTTTCACTTCCCTGCAAGTGTTGTAAAGAAAGGGATATATTCACCTAGTAATCATACTCATTGTTTTAGCTAATCAGCACGATTAATCTTTGGTTAATTACCTTGTGACTTGGGCAAAGTACCAATCTTTGCTGTAATCATGAACACCGATGGTGAAATTCACGTCTGTCACCGGGAACAACTTTGAGTACCTCTCCCACAATCCGTACTGTCGATACCAATCCTTAGGGAGGTTCTTGTACAACTTGTTGATGTAGGTCGGTTCAGGTTCCGGGACGAAGAACTCCGCGGCTGACCGGTCGGGTACCCCGATTTCCCATACGGTCGGACCATTCCTCGGTGGCTCGAACACTAGGAAACCCAGTTCAGTGTGTGACCCTGTGTAGGATACAAAACAAACCGCCATACTAAAAATTAGCATCACCAACTCAATTTCTTTGTCCAGTTTGATCCATTTTTGGTTAATACCTGGCGTAATGACAACATCCTTGTGGAACTTGTAATCTCCTAGAAGGCCAGGAACCCAACCGTACAAACTATACGTTCCAGGTCTGACGTTGTTTATTGAAAAGCCGCCGTGATTGTTTGTCTTGTTCCAGAACTGGTAGTTCTTGCCGTCTCTTTGCCATGAACCTGGCGCTCCAGGCGGCGCTAGTCCCATATGTGCCCCACTTCCATACATCGTCTTCATATATCTAAAAATTGTAGGTAGCATATTCATATAATCTACAACATTAATGTTAATGAATTAATATATAGAGGAAAAAAGTGAGAGTTTATTACGGATCTTTGATTACGAGTCGACCCGAAATAGATCCACGTTGTTGCCTTGATGGAAAGTCGTTAGAGTGGACGAAAACATAGGGCCATTTGCTCTCTTCTAGCTTCATCTGATAAAGAGCACAAAGATTCAAACCACGAAATCAGACCACTAGAGTTCCCAATATCAAATCTTACACAATTTTTTTTTTTTTACTCCCTCACCTTTAATTGGGCATCTTGGTAAAGAACCCTAGGGGAGCTACCAGTAGAAGCAGAATTGAGGTAGATGAAAACAGGGCCGTACACCATTTTCCAAGCCTCGGAGCTTCTATACGTTGTGTCGATGTCGCTCCCGGCGTAATGGGTCGAACCGAACATCTGAAACATAGGAGAAACCCATAACGAACACTAAAGAATCGTAAAACATATATCTTCAAAATCATTATGCTTGATCGAACACAAAAAAAAAACAAATAAGAAATCACGAAAATTTAAATTCGACAAAGAAAATAATAAAAAAGTCGTCTTACGCCGAGAAGAGTGGGGCCGACATGGAGGTGAGTTCTTGCTTAGTCGGCCCACCGGTTCGAAACTCGTAGCTTGGAAAAATCAACCAGAACCCGATCCGGTCCCTGGTCGAAACCCAACCATGTACTCTGTCATCCTGATGCTCCAAGGAGTACTGATACTTGTCATCCACCTCGCCTTCGAGCGCCTTATTCGACGTGTTCGTCAGCAGAACGGCTTCCGGGTACGCCAGCCGCTTGCCCCGGTCACGATCCTCCTGCGTCGGCATCACCCTCTGCCTCTCCTCCGATATAGCCATGTAGTCAAACCTGCAACCACTAGCCACATTAACAACGTACCTAAAAGAAAAAAAAAAAAAACAGAGCAAGCTAAATTGGAAACATAAATCGCATTTTCGTTACCTGTCTTTGTCGAGTTTGAAGACAATCCGGAGCTGGTCCATGACGGTGTCCGGCCACCCTTTGAGCCTCTCGACGACGGCGTACGCGTAGAACCCAGAGGTGCCCCGCTGCATTATATAACGCTTCTCCACGTTAAGGGGAGCGATGGATCCCCGGCGGGAGATGTTCCAGCTTCTGGAGAACGCGACCTCGATGAGGTCGGGGGCCTGATGTACGATCCTGAAACTGGTTCCCTCCATCCTGCCAACCAACCAATATTTTTTCTTCTGCGATTGAGCGCGAAAATTAAACAAATTGGATAATTAGTTTGGCTCGATTGTATACCCGTCGATGTTGCCGGGCTTTCCTGGTTCGTACCAGACGACGTCCCAGTATCCTCTGTTCTTGTCATGATTCCGCCGTTCCAGCGACTGGACTCCTCTGTACCAAACTTCTGAAACGTCGCCGCGAGGATTCGACAGGCTGACTTTCACCAGGCCGTTGTCTAGTATAACCTGTCAGGAAAAAAAAAATTGTGCACAGAAGCTAATTGGTAACATGTGGATTGTATAGTGACTTTTCTTACGTGTTGAGAGTGACGATCCAGGGTGAGCTTCACGTCATTTGCAGAGGAGGCAGCTAATTTGGAACCATGTATGGAGGAGCGTCTTCTGTTGCTCTGCTGCCATGGAAATCCTCTATTACAGAAGAAGAAAAAAAGCCCAAAAGTTAAACCCTGATGAAGAACAATAAGAGCAAAGGAAAAGGAGACATTACGTTACTAACTAAAGGGAAAACATTAAGAGGGTTAATTATTGACTTCAGTGACTCACATTGAGAATGAAGAGACGCAAGTCAGCCATGTGAATGCAGTTACAAGCAAGAGAAGTCTAAGAGACGAGTTCCTGGAACTGCTAGTAGTAGCAGCCATGGCGGGAACAGAAAAAAGGTGGAAGAAACCCACCGGACCTTTTTAGGTTTTGTGTTTCTCTTGAAATGGTCGTGAAATCGATCGGCTGGGTAAAATGGACTTACTCTTATAGTTGAGCATCGGCGAAGCAGAAATGGTAAAAGAATTTTCTGGTTAATGGATGAAATCTTTTGGGGTTAAATTAATTAATGACAATTTCTATCGCTTATACCCTATGTGTTTTAGGGTTGATTAATGAAAAATATCTGATTAAAAATAATGGCATATATTATACAAATAACTACTCATATTTTTGTCAATTATCATATTCACTTCCAAGTTCTGATTGGAATTTTAAGAATCTTCCAATTCAACATTGCATTAACAGCGATTGATGATGAATCACATATCATATATGTTAGAGATTCATCTTATTCGCTTCTCATTTTAATGTTGTTAATCAATTTAAAGTCTCATTAGGTTTTGACTAACTTGTACTCGCATCGTCGTCAAAACAATAGGAAAAGTGATTTATGAGATGGGTTGATGAGTAAATATGAATTTCTATTATACATGGCAAGTGAGTGCTCCAAAACAAACTTATCAAGTCACTAAATGGATTAAACTACAAGGTACAGGGATTATAAATATCACGAATGCATAATTTCTTTACTTATTTAGGATACTTAATGTGATGTTCGGAATCCAATGATAAGTTATGTGTTGGATTTGCTTGAGCTTTTGTGATTTGTTTTGGGTTATGGGTAGAAAAAATAGTTAAAATTCTTAATATAAAACTCCCAAACAAAATTTACGAGGCAAGATAATACTATGGATTGGGTTATTAAGGTAAGCGATCGAGTAGAATCTTACCTCTTTACATTCTCTAGATTCCCTATTAAATTCATGTGATTTGTAGGTTCTCGTGGAAGGATTTATTGATGGCAAGTTAATTCTAATTCATATTTTAGGGTTTAACTCTCTATTTTGTGCATGGATTTGGGTTTTTTTTAAGAGACACTTGCTCTTGGATCGGACTCTTGGTTGAAGCTATTGTTACATGGACCGAATTTCAGAAACTCTCCTGGTAGATCGAATATTTGGATTCAGGAGAGATCGTCATGATCGTTAAATTGAGCTACTCAATATACCCATTCGTTGTTATACTACTCAATACACGTATCAGTTGTTGTACTAAATTTTATGAAAGAATGAAATCTGGCTGCAACTATAAGATGCGCTCAAATTTTGCATAATCTTCTCATGATCATAGATGAAATCACCATTAACGGCCTTGACTGAAATCTATAAAACATTTGAGTCCACACCCCAAATCTCTAACCATGGGGGTATCAGCCTGTCAGTCGGGAGGTTAGAGATGAGAGGGAGAATAGGCGATACATGAATTGAACTACAAAAGCTTGGATAGTATACCAATGGTGATATTGCAACATTTTCATTCACTACATTTCACACTCCACGACCAAAAACCAAAAAATGAAGCAATCGGAAGGAATACAACAGAAGCACAAGCCCAAAACACACAACAAGCTAGGGAAAAACAGAACATCCGGGAAAAATGGAGCGAAGAAATTGTCAGACAACAACTATCGCCGGCGGCGGCGGCAATGGGCTTTGCACATAAACCGGCAATCGTAGAAGCAAGGACCGCCGCAGTGAAGCGGACAGTCCAGCCTCATTCCCCTGCACTTAGATCCTCTCTCACTACACTGCGCAAATTCCCCCATCTTAAACTCTCCCCTCCCAAACTTCCCCCTCTTACCCCGACCACCGCCGCCTCCTCCACCTCCGCCGCCGCCGCCGCCGGGTCCACGGCCGCACCCCCATTTATACGACCCACCGCCACCTCCACCCCATCCATACCCTCCTCCTCCCTCGCCTGAACCACCCCCGCCGCCGCCCCATCCCCATCCGAAGCTCCCTCCGCCACCTCCCCCTCCTCCTCCGCCGCCGCTTCCTCCTCCTCCGCCGCCGCCTCCGCTCCCGCCTCGTCCCCTGTTTTTTGCGGCGATTTCAGTGTAATTGATTTTCGTCGGCTGACTGTTCAAATTGGCAGCTGGCGTCACGTCAGGGATTGCATTTGTGCTGCTGATCGCCGCAATTGCGGCCATAAGCAGAAGTAACCAAAGGGTAATCATCCTGATCACTGTTTTCTTCACCATTTTTAGATGGTCGAATTGATGCTCTGTTGCTTTCAGTCTTTCCGTTATGATGCTATTTATACATAACTAACACATTCGTCAGAAATACAACTGGAAGGAAAAATAGGAAAACAGAGGGAAAAGGTCGGCAGAGAGAGCCAATCAATTTGGCTTGGATCGCACTTTATCCACATTGTGATCCCCACCAGGCCACCACCACGCTCGCAACTTGCATACCACTGTACCAAATAAGCAACATCTGATAACGGATTAACTAATCAAGAAACTAGAGTTGGGTGAAATCCGATACCGATCGCAATCGAGTCGATAAATTTTCTATTTTTCGATCAGTGCGACTTATATATGTTTGCCTTGTAGAGGAGGTGACAATCTAAATTTTGTCAAATCGTTGTTATAGACGAGGGTGCTATCCTCGGTCCAAATGTAAACATACAGTCACAAACATGGTGAGTCAAAATAAAATAGTACGGGTGGGTTGCTAAGTAAACGATTCTTTCGAAAAGGAAGTTACAATAATAAGGGTGGCATGACTAAACGAGTTATGAGTTGGATAATTTTATATCACGAATCACCGATTATCTTATAAAGTCGTTTTTGAGTGGGTTGAATCGAAGTTTGCTTACCATTAGCAGGCACAAGTGGTTTTGTTGGATGGATCATGGATGTTACTGACAAACAAAGATTTCCAAATTTCAAGCTATGCTCGATCAAACAACTTATAGAACTTCAACAATCCAAGGGATTACTTGGTTGAAATGTGGGGAAGGGCGTCCTTTTGGGTGGCGGTTAACACTCTGGTCTGGTCTGGTGTGTTTTGCTTGCCAAGAACGTTACTTTGGAGGGAGGGAGAGAAGGCAAAGTGTGAGCAGGAAGAGTTGCAGGAGGGGGAATGATTTGTTGAGGAGACCAAATCCTTAGGTAGAGAGGAAGTTAGTATAAGTTTGTTTGTTGGTACTGAATACGCTATAAAAAAAAAATATTGCTACTTGTAAAGGTATGAAAATCGATTTTATCATACCTACAACTATATGTTGGTTGCCATCATCATCATCATTTGCTTGCTAGCCATAGGCAGGACCAAAAGAAAATTGAGGGGGAAAAATTATTTTCAATGGAGAATGGCTGGCCATGCCTGGCATGCTTCCAGTTCAGGGGAGGCATTTGTTGTGCCTTCTCCTTCAAGGCACATACATGTAGCTGTGGTTGGTAGTTCGTTCGACTTTATTATTCTTTAATTCTAAACAAGTTCGGAGCTAACTTCATAAACGATATTAAGACAACATAATATTTATGTGTATATTATAAATCTAGATTTTATGATAATTTGAACTTTTGTGGCGGGTGAGCTTCACTTTATAGATCGAAATTCCCTCGTGTTTACCTTATTTCCTTCCTCCCGTATCCTTCTCTCGCCCATAATAGTCCCCACTACATTAGCGAAAAGAGACTTGTTTGGTCACCTAAGTTTGGGTTTCCCCTCTCTGGTTGGTTTAATGTGTTCACAAGCTTCTTGGCTTCTAGTATACCTACTCTCATTGAAGAAGGGCCAAGTGAGGCAATGCATAGCTCTAGAAGTGATAAGAAATAGAGTTCGATAATTAAATCTACAATCTAGACTACAATGTAAGCCGTATAAAGAGGGTAAATAAACACTACAAATTTGTTACTAAAAATAACATAAATAGTTGTTATTTATATGATCAGTCCGATCCAACTGAATAAAAACATGGAATTGAAATGTACTATATATGATTTGGAATTACCCATTTCTCCTGCCCTTTCTTGGGGGCTTGGGGCATAATTGCTTTAGAGAAAACACACAATGATAATAATCAAGTAGCCATGAAAGTGGCTTTTCCAACAAGTCTAAAGCATATCATTTATTGCTTAAAAGATGGTAGAAAGTAGAAAAAACATATTAACTTATCTTTCTGCTCCCACTCTTACCTCACCTAGCTACTACCCATTGATTAACCCCAAAAAAATGGGTCAAAAAACCCTCCCCACCACACACACAATAGGTTATTTTTATTTACTCAAAGAAAATGTCAAAATAGAAAACTCTTGGACTGTAAGTATACATCAAGTACTCAACCACTTAGAACGAAGATTTATTTGTTTAGCTGGTTTTGGCCTTGGAGCAGGTTTTGTTGGCAACAGAGTAGCAACTCTCCAGCTCAACCTGCTGCAGGATCTCCTTCGTCTTCGCCAAGTACATGGTGTGTCCCTGAATCAACTCCGTTACATCGATCTGCAAACACAAACATTGGTACAACTTCACACAATTAATGAATGTTTCGCTTTCTACGACCTCTCGATCGTTACCCTTTTCAAACATGAATGATTTTCTAGTTCATAATAATGGTCATGGAATTACTTACATTCTCAATTCCAGGAACTTCAACGGGCTGAATCCCAGCCAACCCTGTGGAAACCAGACTGGCCCGGAATGTAACCCCTAGCGTCCAGTCATTTGTTGAGTACACATTCACAAACCTCCCAGCCACCATCTAATTCCCATAAAACCCAGCAGAGAATTACTATCATAATACGAACTAACCACTTGATCCCAATAACTCGAATTTTTGGAAAATGATTTGTTAAGCTTTTAACCTTGTACGTACCTTTCTGGCAAGTTCCCATTTTTCGCCTTGGATTGCAACCGGTGCACCAAGAAGGACCACCCTTTCCACCAATCCACCTGCAGAATTTTTTGTCATTACAATTACTATTAATCAGAACTAATCCAATAAGCTTGCTATAGTTTTTGAATTAGTGAGGAACTATACTGGTTAATTGAAGCAAATCCCAAACGATTAATATTCATACCGTTGTCACCGGGTGAGGTAGCGAGATGTTGCAGGCACTTGAAGATAGATCGAGCTCCAAGCGAGTTGCCGATCAGTGTAACAGGCCTGGAGATTTAAGAAGATGCACTTCTTCACTAATGAATTACTATTGATCAACTTTTCCATCTAGTTAGAATCGTAATTAATAAAAAAAAATAATGACTAATTACCTGTTGCCGTGCATTCCATTCAGCAACACCTCAGCAAGCATCAGTCCTGCTTTATCAGCTCTGAAAATAACAAGAAAGTTGTAAGATTGGTGATATGATATTGTTAAGGTCAAGCTAACAGATTCTGGAGTTGTCGTAACCAATGCAGTCAAAATCGCGATTTTACGTAGAAGCATTTTGGTGATCTAGAATCATAAAAATGTAAGTGTAGATTTTGACTACACTTGTAAGTGAAAAGCGTGATTCTATGTACAAGCGTTTTGGTGACCTAGAAATGTAAAAGCGTAATTTTTTTTAAGTTTAAAACGCGATTTTGACTACATTACTCGTAATAAGCATTCTAGCTAGCTTCATTTCGAACCTATCAGTAGCGACTGCCCATTTTGTGTCAATGAGCTCAGTAGCTCCAAGCATGGCTGCCGGCAGAGCTAGTGCCACGACTAGGGTGCTAAGCACAGTCAACATTGCACCTTGTTTCATCATCTCCATTGCAACCTCTACAACATGCAACATAAAATATTTTATATCAATGTCTTCAAAAGAATGAAGATTTTGATTGAGTTTAGAGTTTAGGGTTTAAACACAAACTCGATGAAAGCCAGTCCTCTACAGCAGTGCTGAACTCGATCAAGTTCTTCGACTCCCACCGCACGGTGTACCTATAGTACGCGTGGTAGTAACATCAGCTCCATCGTCTTCAAATTCTTATTAGTTTCTTGCCACGATCGAAACCTTACGTAAACAAAAAACTTCTCTTCATCGGAATTTATCGAAAGCAGTACCTCTCCATGTTGTCGTTAATGCCTTCAAATGGCTTCTTGAAATCATTCTCGTTGAGCACGTACCCGTTCATGAAGATCTCAACTCCTAGGCGCTGCCATGATTAGATGGAATGAACTATCAAAACTCAAAATTGCTAGTCATTAGAACAGTGAACATATTGAAGAAAATGAAGAAGCTGAATTTACGCCTTGATTGGCGCTGTCTCCATGTGCTTCAATCTCAAATTCCTCGAGCCCTCCAACTCGTTTTGCCATTTTGGTCCCCGTCAGGCTCATTCCAGCCGCTGTATGGCGCCACATATGTAACAGTCATCGTTTATTGTTAGCCTTACAAAGTTGTCGATTGTTGCAATGTGTATGTGTATGAAGTACGAACTGATCGTATAAGTGAAACCTTAGGTAGCTAGTTACCTCCAAATGAAGCAGCAACGGCAACAGATCCTGTAGTGCTAGCAAGAGCACCTCCAATGGCAGGGGCGAGTGCAGCCACTCCATGTGCAATTGCGGGAGCAGCAAGGCCTGCAATATTAACCCTCGTTTAGTGTGTGGTTAATTGTAGTGTTGTTGTGACAACAGAGATATAACCACAAAATCATGAAAACGAAAAACAGAAATGTATTATGTTGGTACTTTTGGAAAACCATGGAAGTTGATAATTTTATGTGTTTATTTATTTCATTACACACCATTTAACGTTTATGTTGCGACTAAGACAAAAATAAGAAAATAATAGGAGGATAATAGTGTGGTATGACGAGTTATTGCACGTATTATAGATTAATATTGTCTGAATTCACTAGTTATGTGATAGCACTAATTAGTTTAGTAATATGGTATGACAAAAATACCGCCGGTGACGGCCATGAGCGCTCCGCCGGTCAAAGCGGCGGCGCTGACCATCCCCACGCGCTTGCTTTTCTCCCACGCGCCCTCCGTGATGGTCTTGTCACCTTCGTTCGCCTTTGCCAGCAGCTCCATCAAGGAGCTTGAAACCATTGTCTCCATTGCTTCCTACATAAAAACCAAGGCCCAAAACAAACATAAGCCCAAGCCCAAACTACTCGTGGGCAAAAAAAAAAAAAAAACGAAACGTGGGTCAGTTTACCATTTCATTCCAATTGATGGCAAGCCAGCAGGCCAAAAGCCTGAGAGCAACCCTGTGGCGAGCATCGTAGCCTTCCCTCTGTTTGAAGAATTTACTGTTCTCTTTCACCTTATCAGCAAGGCAAGCC